TGCCCCATTTTCTATTCGTTTTATTTTTTTTTTTAAGATTTTGAAAATTTATTTTTATTGTCCATATTTATTAGATTTAGACAAATAATTTTAGTTGCTATTTTCTATTAGAACTAATGAAATTTTGTGAAATTTTTCATTAAAAGTATTGAATTCTTAAAAAAAAAAAAATTTAACGGGACGGGGCGCCTTTACCTGTCCCCACCCCGAGGCAAAATTCCCTTCCCCGAATACCCGATTAAGCGGGTTATCCCCGTCCTGTTCGGGGTGGGGCCTTCGGGTATCGGGTTTGTCGGATTTTTTTGTCATTAGGTTTATTGAATTAAATTGTTACTTCATTCAATTCCTTTTTTTCTATTTTCTCTATGTCATAATTTTATTATTTTTGAATACCCTTTTTTTTCAAAATTTTAATAATACGTCAAATAATTTTGTTTTTTTTTTCTCATAAATTTATCATAATTTTGTTTATTCTCATGAATTTTATCTGATTTTACATAAATTAATAGTACATCGTAATATATCTCAAATAGAAAGTGTGGAAAAAAAAAAAAGTTTACGTAGTAGTTCAGTGTTCAAAATTTATTAAGTACTAAATTACTTTTTGTAAAAAGTATACATGGATTTTTCTGTAGGAAACTGTTTACTTATATGTTATTTAATTTTATATACGGATTACCAATGGAATTGTACCGATGGAAGGCTTCCGTCGGTATTTTAATATATATTTTTAAATTCTAAAATAGTAAATTATTTCTAATTTTTTGTTAATCCATCAATAATATAAATGGAAGTCGTTTGTCACTAAAATTCCATGTCTATTGCCTCCATGTCCAGTAATGTATTAGATTTGGATACCATAACTCGTGTTGTGATCTACTGCTGCTGCTTTGTCATGGGAGAACACCCAGAGTTCTGAGATCACTCCTACTAAGATTTCTGGGCATCTGGGCATTTCTTTTTGTGATTTGTGATGTTATTGTTACACATTGCCACTGGAAGGCATTGCAGAGTTCTTTGCTGTCGGATCATATCCAGCTGCAGCTGAACTTGCTTTCGGATCATATCCAGCTGCAGCTGAACATGAGTAATGGAGAAACCTGAATCCTATATTAGTTCTTCAAGTGAGAAAAATAAAATGTGCCCTCTACCTAGTTTGGTAAAATCTACTTCCATTGAAGATTAGAAATTGAATGGCTATTATGAAGTGGATAAAATTTCTAGCGATTTGCAGTTTGCTATGGTTATGTTTGAAGTAGAGGAATCTGTTACTGTAAAATAAATTCTCCACGTGGCGAATTGACGAGCTCATACGTGGCATAGCGATGCGAGCAACCCGATTCAATGCCTGCCGAGGCGAATCTAGCGTAAAAACAGGTTGACAGATCCCCTTCTGGCAGAGACCCTCGATACAGGCCCATCCCTAGCGAAGCGAACAACCAACCAACAGGAGACCCTATGAATTGATTGACATGACAACTCACTGTCAATGCCGTCTCTGAACACCTACATGGTTAAATCCCACTTGCACAAATTAGGATCTGTGGGTAGGTAAAAGATCTTATAGCATTTAATGGCCCTGATGGATAGATTGATTGATTGACGCATGTAATAAGAAGGGCTAGTTAATCCGATGAAGTCACACGTCCTATCATCCAACGGGCTTCATCCTTCCTACTCAAGTATAAAAACCCACACTAAGCACTATTCAGGGTAATGTAACTCTAGATTTTCAATCCAATATCCTTGCCAAACACACTTCTATCATTTTAAGTGAGATCACCAACTTTTCCTCAATCCGACCCCATCTACGTGGATACAAGAAGTTCTTGACATTTGTTGGCCACGTTTGATACAATTTTTGGGGTCAACAGAATCCATTGAAATTATGCTGAATCTTTTAAGGTTTGAAGAGTTGGTACATAGTCAAAGAAAGCTTAGCATGGGGAAAAAATATACGATTTTCTTCAACCAGACCATTTGTTTTACCTTGAAATTAGGGTTGATTTTTCCATGTCTTGTCTTTTCCTGCTCCCATCCGAACAGAAACTTCAGTTCCATTTGCTATTAGATTTAAGAAGAAATCTAATACTAGAAACTTTTAGATGGAATGGCTATGGCGTAGGCCCTTCCTTGCCTCTTGTCTTGTCAATGCCATGGCTGGACGTGCATGAAATGTGCGAGTGATGTGTACTCTGACAGGGACAGAAGCAAGGTAGAGTGTCAGTGTTTGCGATTTGTGAATGCCATGAAACAACGCAAATTCAGGGCATCACACCCCTAGATGATCCACAATTAAGTATTAGAGCACATTAAGAATTAAAACAATGGACTTGGAGTAAAGAATAATAACTATGAGGCCGATACTAACATCAAATAAATTAGCTGTTAGATAGCAGGACTGACATTTACAAAATGTTCTACCAACATAAGTAGTTGTGGATGTTTTAAGTTAAAATGCTTTCTCATTCCTAGTTGCAAGGGTAAACAAGGAACTCCATTTAGAAGTCCTTTGAATATTAGAACCTAAGTTTTTCAATGTTTTATAGCTGACAATCCAATGAGTGAGAATAGTTGACTCCTTTAAATTTAGGAACCAAATTTAGAAAACTAATTATCAAAATTCTTAGAAGTGTAAGATAATATTTTTTCTTTTCAATAATTTCAATTACATCTTTCCGAAACACATTTACAACTTTGCACCAAAAAAAATAAAAAGAACTGTAAGATTTACGACATTTTCCTAAATCTCACACATACATATGCATATTCACATAATTGTCAAGTCGTAACTACTTTCCCAAATTCGCAAAATCTCTGCCTTTGGCGGCTAGCTTTCTGAATCGTGGCAGTAAAAATAAGGAAAATGCTCCTCTGCCAGGCCTGTAGGCCTGGCAATGCTGAGCTCTCACTTGAATGATGGCCTAATTCTTCAGGTCAAATCATGCTTCCTTCCAAGAGATTTAGTTAGATGCAAGAGCTTAAAAAAGGTTCAATGCCTATATTTCTAATAGAAATTTTTCTCACAAGCACTTTGTTAAATCAAGTCACAATGTCTGTGACCTCGTTCCGTTCTTGGATACATCTCCCAATGTCTTTTACAAACTTAAACCCTCCTTACCCTATGAAATGCCAGAAATTTAGGAAATAATAGACATTCAAGCTTCAGTCTTGGCCTCGTGTGGTGGTCTTCTTCTCGTTCACGTTTTAAGATACTAGATTTATAGCATTTTCGACCCTATAATCGTGGAATTCCAACTGGTGTCAGAGGGCAACCAAGATGGTTGGATTGTCTGGCCGGTTTGCTTGGCTGTTGATTTGAGAAATGATTCATTTACAATCACATTGATAGAAGTTCTTTGTAAATAGACCAATCCAAAGCGAACCAAGTGCTTAAATTCACAGCATTTAAAGTTGGTTCAAATAAGTGAGAAGAAACCCATATGGAATTTGCTGCAAATCAAGTGATTTGAGCTTAGAGAAGATGGCATGAATACTCTACC